TCCCTCGACAATGTTATCTCATGAGATTGATCGAAACCCAGTTTCTCTTCGTATCTACATTGTACTAGTAGCTGTTTGGACTTTTGGCTCTGTCGTATACTCCACAGTCACGAGCGGAAGTCCTTCTTCCCTTTTATTTTGGGCTCGTCTGCCAGAGTGTAAATGTTTTCGCAGAGTGCTTTATCGGTAGACGGAGGTTGGGCTCTATTCTGCATCAGATAGGCATCAATTGGCTGGTTGCTGTGGTGTCTAGAGCGAACTGCACGGACTGAGATAAGAACGAGAGCCAACTGATTTCTTCCAGAGAGGCAGTTGAGGATGCGAGTCCAGCTTGAAGCCGGGGCTTGCCTACTCGTACACAACGGTACACTAGACTCGTTTGTAACCACCAGGACCTGTACCCTCTGCTTGAGGCTGGACGATTGGACAAACGATCACGTCTTTGCTGTCTTGTCTCTGGTCTCTGTTGCCGTCAATGCGCCCTGATGCCCCATTTCGTCTGTCTGGGCGGTGAGAATGGTCCTTTTCCGATGCCCATCAGAGGCTTGGACGCCGGTAGGCCAGAAGCCAGTGCTAGCCACTTGACAGGGACTGGTGCAATGCACTTGGACACTTGGGACTTTAAGTGGAGTGAGTCGAGATCGAGTGACCCAGTAGGGTTGTGGCTTGGTCGTTAATTGCATCAGAAGCCCTAAACTTCGTCCTCAAGTCTGGGTCAAGGCTGGCTGATGGTTACAGCATCGTGTGGACCAAGAGGCTTCCAACTAACGAACTAAGACCCTGCTGACCTGCCGATCCTTCTGAATGTTTATTCACTTGCCATTCCTGATGCATAATATATACTTTTTGCAACAAGCACATTTAAAAACTTGTGTGTGCCCAGATCCATACACAATGCATTTTCTTTGTGTGTGTGTGTATGTGTGTGTGTTTTTTTTGAAGAGTACGGACAATTTATCAACGTGTTCTATCCAGTCACATTTTTGTGCCCATGTACACCAACATTTTTCTACTTTTTGGCAATTCTCGGCATTCTTATGTCCGGACAATCTTGCCTGTGCCTTTCAGTATGTCTGCATATGCTTGGCGCATTGGTATCAAAAATTTTACCAAGTCCGGCGCGGTCAGCAACTCTTGTAAGAGAAGTGTTTATAGGACTGTCAGACCCCTCTGCTGGCCGAGGCTGAAGCCTTAACAAAACAATCTGTCCTGGAGTGGCGTGTGCCCGCTTCTGTATGCACATACAGTGCATTTGTGTATTTGCGTGTGTGTGCGCACATGTACGTATGAGTGTGCGTATGTGTGAGGGGCTCTTGAAGGCATCGGTCACCTCGACCCTGCGGTGTATATCGTATTGACCTTTCGCTAAACGTCCTCCACTGGAGTGTGTCTGCATCAAGTCAGTGTGCCTTCTTATGCCACCTTACACCAGTCTTCCCATTTCCATCCACCCTGCGAATCCCAGTCTGCTTTCGTAGCCATGGCTAAAACACGGAGCTTCTGGGCTATGAATTTTGTCTGGGCTCTTCCCACTCCCCTGGACGAAATGTCCAGTCAGCCTTGTCTTGCATGGCCGAGCAGCACTGCCCACTCAACTCGATTCTTGGCTTGATGCGTCCGGTTGCCTCATCCACCAGACAGAGACCTTGGTGCCTAGGGCATACCACATTAGATGCCGGTGAGCATGCCTTTGGTCCACGACACAAGCTTACCCGTATTCCTGCCATTTGTATCTTGTCCAAAGATATCTACTTTCGGCTCCCCGACAGACCACATTTATTGCGGGCCAGTTGTCATTCCTATGAACTATGAGCCTAATGCTTTTCTAATCTATTCTATCCCATCTATATTGTACACTTTATGGTCAGGTGATGCAAGTTATCATAATCGGGGAATATTTAGTCCTGACTTGCCGACTGTGCAACCGCTACGACCCACATCATGCCATTCAGCAGCACCACCAGGACATCTTTTTTCAGCCGATCTTAGTGAAGATATTGCCCTTAGATACGTCGGACACACGAGGGAATACAGGATTTACGATGGCGACACAAGCGCCACTTAATGAAAATCATCACTAACGAATCTGATGGCAATTAAGATAGTATAAACGATACTTATTGGCGGGCAGTCTATCCCTCCGAAAAGCGTCTCCCCAAACGACGGGTCGATTACCTTTCGCAAGTAGACTTAATAATTGTGTTCTAATGGCGCTAGAATCTGTTCAAGAAAAAAATGGATCATGTTCTCAGTCCTTCCTTGACGGCATCAATTCAAGACATGAACTTTGTTGTCGCTTTAAGACCGATTGTCCTCTGGGCATCTAA